TCTTGATCCCACCATGATCACAACAAGGAGCGTTTCCATGGGGAAGTAGGTAGCTCTAGAAACTGGCCCGCTCTTCCATCCCCCAAAGCTCTGCCAAGGCACCACCAGGGGAACCTGCTAGTTAAATACATTAATTGAGCAGCCACTATGTTGACAACAAAAATAGGCTTTCGAATCCAATTAAATGTTAGGCTTCAGCATGGGAGAGAGAGATGGTGCGTATGCCAGAGTGCGGGGTGGGGGTGGGGCGACAAGAAAGGGTTTCTTTACCAGTAATTAACCACAAAGTAAATAGCTTTCCTATGGAATGGGCCCCTCCATCCCCACACCCCCGATCTTCAATTAGCTCTGTTATTCTGTCCCCTATTACTTGAGATAATCAAGGGTTGGAAGTAATTAATTGCTGTAATGTGTTCCGGAGTGGAGCCAAATGGCAGCTCGGGAAGGCTGGCAGTAGCTGCCGGCTTCTCTAACTGGCTTCCTGGAAGGGCCAGCTTGGGTTCGGCCTGCATAAAGTAGACAACAGGGTGAATGGGGAACACAGGCAGGGGTATCAGCACTCCTCTGGCTCTTCCAACGCATCTGGCACTGGGCATTGCCCTCCCTTCCCACCCCAACCCCCTGTCATCCATCTCTGTGTGACCCGACAAAGCCCTGGACCGACAAAGCCACTCACATCCGAAACACAGAGCGCTTGTGCCTGGGTAAAATATTACTCAGCTGTAAAAAGGAATGTTGTTTGACACATGCTGCCAGATGAATGAGCTTTGTGGGGGTTTATAAGGAGAGACACAATCCACCGGCAAACACTGGGCAAATCCAGAGAGGCAGGAAGCAGATTAGAGGGGTCTGCAGTTCACAGCCAAGAGTTACCCGAAGTCAGGACTGGCAACATTCAATACAGATATAACTTTTCCCCAGACCCTAGAGCCAAAAGCATCGGAAATGCAATACCCAAGGTTTATATAGACATATAAATGCGCGTGTGTGTGTGTGTGTGTGTGTGTGTATGTGTGTGTGTGTGTGTGTGTGTACCCTTACTTGTACATGTGGAGGCCACACGTTGAAGGTGGGTGTCTTCTATTGACCTCTCTCTCTCTCTCTCTCTCTCTCTCTCTCTCTCTCTCTCGATAGGCCCTCTCCCTAAACATGGAGCTCAGTGATTCTCTAGGCTACGTGGCCAGTGAGCCCCTGGATCTCCCTGCCTCTGCCCATTGTGAGCTGGAGTTGCAGGCATATAACCTGACTTTTTAGGTGAGATCTTGGGACTGAGCTCAGACACTCATGTTTTCACAGTAAGCACTTTACCTACTGTGCTGGTTGGTTCCAACTGTCAACACCACAATCTAGAATCACCTAAGAAGGGAGTCTCAATGAGGGATTGTTTAGACTCCAGGCTGATCTGGAGCATGTCTCCCCTGGACCCACATGGTGGAGCAGACTCCAGGAAGTTGTCTTTTGACCTCCATATTATACATTGTAACCCCTCACCCCAAATTTCAAATACACAAATAAATATGAAAAAAGTAGAGAGAGTAACTGAAGAAGACTCCTGAAGTGGGCTTTTGACTTCTACATGTGTGCACATGTGCACACACACATGCACATACACATGTATTTACACACATCCCAACACACTTAAGAAGATATTTTCTAACTAGGTAGAGTGATGGTTGCTCAAGAGATTGCCTTGACTATGTTACTTGGGCTAGGAAGACCTGCCCACTGTAGGTGGCACCATTCCCTAGGCAGGGAATCCAGATGGTACCAGAGTGGAGAAAAAGAACTGAGCACAAGCAAATGAGCATGCATTGACTTCTCTCTGCTGTTGGCTGTGGACAGGACAAGCTATTTCAAGTTCCTGCTGCCTTGGCTTCCCCACAGGGACGGACTGTAATCTGGAATTGTGAGCCAAATAAACTCTTTGTCTTCCAACTTGCTTTTGTCAAAGTATTTTATCGTGAGCACAGGAAATAAAACTAAGGCATTCGCTGAGCCGTCTCCCCAGGCTCAGACTCCTCTCCTTGCCTGCATCCCCTAAACAATGCAGCAGAGCAACTATTTACACAGCCGTGGCATTGTACTGATGATGATAAGCATCCTCAGGATGTATGAAGCACACAGGGGATGTGCAGAGGTTTCCTGCAAATACTGTGCCACTTTACAACAGGGCCATGAGGATTCGTAAATGGTGGTACCCAACGTTCCCCTCCAATACTGGGGATGATTACAGTTGTTAGGGGTTGAGAAGAGGCATGGAAGAGAGTGACTGCTAGTGGGTACCAGGCTTCCTTTTGTAGAATAAGAATATTTTGGAACTTGTTCTGGGGAGAAGACTCCACGGGTGAAATGCTTGTATTGCAAGTGTGAGGATCTGAGTTCAGAACCCATGGCCAGCAGCACGATCCTGTAATCGCAGCCCTGGGAAGGTGGAGACGGGCTTGGTGGCCAGCCGGTCTAGTTAATCAGTGAGATTCAGGGGTCGTGAGAGAGCCTGTCTCAGAAAATAAGGTAAGGGCTGGTGAGATGCTGTAGAGGGCAAAAGCATCTACCTTCAAGTCTGACAACTTGAACTTGATCCCAGGATCCACAAAGCAGCAGGAGCAAGCAAACTCCAGCAAGCTATCCTCTGATTTCCATATATACAGTGTGTCATTCTCTCTCTCTCTCTCTCTCTCTCTCTCTCTCTCTCTCTCTCTCTCTCCTAAATCAATGAATGAATAAATAAACAATACGGTATAGAGCAGAAGGTGAACTTATGACCTCCACATGTATGCACGCCCACACACATATGCACATGTATTCACAAACATACAACCACACCCCGTCCCCAACACACTCAGGCTATTTTGTAACTAGATAGAAATGATGACTGCAACATTTTCTCAGTGTATGAGATGCTACAAAAATGTTAAGTTTAACAACAATGGTGACTACTGGGGTAGGGAGACGGCTCAGCTGGTAAAGCCCGGGGCCATGTTTGTGTATGTGTTTAGTCTAGCCTGATTCAGGACAGTGGAAGTCTCTCCTAAACACACACACGCACACACTCACGTACACACACACACATGAACTCATGCACACACACACTCTCTCACACCCAGACACACACACATGCATGCATGCATGCACACACATACACACGCACACACACTCACACTCTCACACACACACAAAGATAAAAAAATGGAAAAAAAGAGATAGTGGGTTTTAGGCTCTATAAATGTCACCTCTGTAAATGAGGACAAAAGCAGCTACAGTTTTCTGAGCTTGTGAGAACAGGGACCAGGTGCAAATTCAAGTGGACTTCATCCCCAAGACAACCTGGCCATGAGTATCTGTTTTTTGGTTCAAGACACAGAGAATGAGAGAGAGGATGTTATGGGTAAGGGAATTGAATGCTGGGATTTGTGCCTGGGAGAAGGCCCCATAGCTTGTCAATGGAGAATTGTCTACAGCTTTTCAAACCTGAGGGTCCTTGGAGGAAGCAATGCTGGAGAACCTGGAACTGTGGGCGGGACTTTTGTGGAATGCTGGGGGCAGGGATAAAATTAAGTCAAATTCTAGAAAAAAAAACATGGCCTGTGTGTGTGGTGTGTATTTGTGTGTGTGTGTGTACATGTATGTGTGGTGTGTGCACACATGTGTGTGTGTATGTGTGGTGCATACACATGCGTGTATGTGTGTGTGTATGTGTGGTGTGTACACATGCGTGTATGAGTGTGTGTGTACATGTATGTGTGGTGTGTGGTATGTACACATGCGTGTATGAGTGTGTGTGTGTGAATGTGTGTGTGGTGTGTGTGCATGTGTAGAGGGGATGGTGCCTTGGGGTCAGACAGCGACTAGGGCTTTTGAGAGAAAGGGGAACAAGAACTCAGTTTTATTTAGCACAAACAGGTGCAGGGGTGGGAAAGGGAAAGAGAAATGAAGAAAGGAAACACAGAGAAGGGAGCTGGTGGGGTGGCGGGGGTGGGGTGGGGTGGGTGACAGGGCTAGCCAGCCAAGGAAAGCCATAGTTAATTCAGATTACAGACATTCTTGCTGCAGAGAGCTGTGGAGAGCTCCTGAGACCACAAGACACTTGAACAGAATTTGAGTAATTTCCCGGAGACTTGCTCACCTGCTTTGAAGCCACTGGTGATCTTGAGACTTCAAAACAAAACAAAACAAAACAAAACTTTGATTCACACTTTCCATCCATCCGAGTACAGTGAGAGGGGTTGGGAGTGAGCATCTTAGTGATACTCCCTTTTTCTTTCTTTCTCAGGGCAGAGACACCCTCTTCTTCCCTCTAATGACCTAGGTATAGTGTAAAAGCGTCTTTAAATGGCATTGTTGGCAAAACTTTTAGGTCCTCTTTTATTTTCTTTATTGAAATATTAGATCACCGGGCATGGTGTCCCACGCCTTTCATCCCAGTACTGGGGAGGCAGAGGCAGGTGGATCTCAGTGAGTTCAAGGCTAGCCTAGTCTACATTGTGAGTTCCAGGCCAACCAGAGCTACATATCGATGAGAGAGAGAGAGAGAGAGAGAGAGAGAGAGAGAGAGAGAGAGAGAG